GGTACCACTTCGTGGAGACAATTAGCAATTATAGTTCTTCCTCTGAGAGGTTTTTTACAGAGGAAATACAGAATGGCAGTGTCACTACCTTCTTCTATGATGTTTCCTCCTTCATTACCGTAACTTTTCAGTATCTTGAACATCCTTGGGTAGTTAAGATACTTCTGTTGGTATTTCTTGGGAACACTGTTTTGGTTTTGTCTAAGGTTAATAAGCAATTTAAGAATATCATCCAGAGATCTGCCCCAAGGCTGGATAGTTATGACTAGCAGGGTGTGTGGGATAGCATGGGCAAGTACCTAGGACAGTGGAACACCAAGACAGTTACCTTGTTTCTGAACCCTCACTCACATCCTAAAGACCTTTCACTCCGCAGCTTAAGCTAACCACTATGAACACAACGTTTCATACATCACCTTTGGGATACTATCTTACTATATTGAAATTTTACCCACTTAAAAGAAAAAGGCATGCTTAGGCACTTAGTCTGGTAAATGTTAGGTTCTCGGGTTATTTTTCTTTTTTCAGATGGCAGAATAATTAATTTTGTAGACTCTCTTTGGAAAACAGATTTAATTGGAACACTACTCCACCTTTAGACCTCAGCTTCTGCAAACACACAAAAAAAGGCCAAATTTTAAAGGATTTTAATTCTTGATCTATAATGGGCACTCTGACAAGCCAGCATAGGAACACTGCAGATTTTTATTTAAAAAAAAAAATGATTAAACTATACTCAATACTTACTACAGTGGCTTCTTACTTCCTTGGATAATAAACACCAGATATGCAACTGGATCTATTTATCACTTACAATAATTATTTATGCAGTGATGACAGCTGTCAGGCTCACCTACAGACCAGGACCCCATGGTGTTAGGGTCCATACAAATATAAGTACAAAAGACAGCAACAACACCACCACACTCTCCCTCAAACTGATATTCAAGCAAAAGAACTCATAGCTTCCTCTACCATGCAGTTTTTCCCTGTGAGTTTAAAATGCATGAAGCTTGAAATTCAACTGAAGTATGAAAATACCAACTTTGCTTTTTTCAAGATACACAGAGTGATTTTTTTAATTTCATCTTTTGTTTTTTATAACCCTTGGAAGAGTTACTGCTTCTCTTATATGCTTCTGGTTTGGGTTGTTCCCCCCCCTTCTTTTTAAACTAAATCATAATCACCAGTTCTTCCAAAGGTCTAATACAGCACAGCACAGCTTGTTCTCATCTGGAAAAATGTGGCTTCAACGTGTGCAAGCATGTCTGTGCCTGTGTGTGAACAGCAATGCATGACTGCAGCACTTACACTGGAAGAGTTACATGTGTTGTACCAACTGGAACAATTTCCATGGACTTTCCCCAGAATTTGTTTTTCCATCTTACATCTGAAACAGGAAGAGGAAAAAAAAAAGACAGGTTTAGTCATAAGCATGGGTGAATCATTCTATTTCTGGGTTCTAATTTATTTTCAAGAAATGCAAAATAACAAAGTGCGACATAATAAAAGTGTTCGAAGAGTGCTGTGGACCTTCGAACATGGGGGGTTTGGGTTTTTTTTGTTTTTTCATTACGTTATTGGTTATTTAAATAGCAAAGTCCTCTCTCAAAAACTTTTTCAAAAGAGAGGAATTTGAATAAGCTATAGACAGCATATATTTATCTGCAATTGCGTTGCTAGTGAATGAATGCAGACATTTCCAAAAACAAAAGCAGAATTTCAAATACAAAAATATAGCAACTATGAACATCCACAGTGAAGAAGCAAAAGAATGTTTCAAAGGGCACAAAATTGCAGAGGGATTTAGTCCAACTTCCTCTGTAAATTTAACTGGCCTTCTAAAATCTTGTCTGAATCACAGAAAGACGCGTCCAAGTCTCACGTCATTTCTCCAAAAAAAGGTGAGAAATCTCAATGCAAGTTTAGCCAAATTTATTGAGCAAAAACACCTGGAAGAGAAAGAAACATGGACAGAGAAGCACGGCAGAAGGGGTATAGAGTTAAATTAGGCTAGATAATCAGGCAGTAACTTTCACAGTAACTTCAGAGCTCAGGGGAATAGTATCCTTGCTGTATTAGACACTAGGAACTCCATTTCCTGGCCAATCTGAAAAAGAGGGAAAAAATCATCTCTAGTGTCAAAAAGATGCTAGTGCTAACACAAGGAAAACCAAAACACTGTTTCCTATGCAGTTGTGGGGAGAATCTGTTATGCTGGCTGTGAGACAGATGTTCAAACCGTAGTTAGGAGACTACGTATCTCCCGAGTATATATGTTCAAGTGATAGGACTGAGCCACACCAAGCTGCAAAGGCTGGAATGGGACATAGGGCAGAATTCCTCATGAAAAAAGTAACCCTTTTCTTATCACTTGAGAACAGGACCCTTTTTTTTTTTAATTTTGAAGTTTGATGCTGGGCCAGCATCCTTAGTGACAGCAATTCTATTGTGATTCCTATACTGCACAATAAGAGGTCCAAAACTACCTTGACTACGATAGTGTTGAGCCGAATTCTGTACTAGCTTTCTCTCTGTCGCAGTGGGAAGGAAGAGAAAGGGCAAAGGCACACCCTGCTGAGTTTAAGAGTTAAAATGTATTATCAGACTGTGTTACGTTCTATGTTCTCATAAATGGCACAGCTGTCCCACAGAGATCAGTACATGAGAAAGAAACATCTTGGGAACCAGTGTGTAACTTGAACATGCAAAAATTTTAGGACAGCTAAGAAAAGCAAAGTGTTATTTTCAAAGCTATGCTCAGACTAATTCAGGCACAGGTACTGTAATAGCTGGAACTTTCTATTCTGCGTTTCTGTTGTTCATGTGTCCACACTCCTTTGCAAAAGCAGAGTCAGCTTCATAAGTCAGGGAAAATTATTTCCAAAATAACTGTCCCTGTCAGAACCCAGTCTTTTGGCTCACTAGAGATGATCAAGAGATTTCTTGATGTTGAAACAGATGAACTAGCATCAGCATCTGGTGGGATGACAGCACTAGTCTGGCAATGTTGCTGAGGACTGTCTCCTTTTCGGCTGAGGAGGTAACATAGCAAGTGAAAAGATCTTTGCACACAGAAAGAACTTGCTTCATTGACAAGCTACCTTTATGATTAACTTGATGTTAATCTTTCCACATAAGTTAATATAGCCCCATAACAAGAGGCCACAGCATTTACAAACTGCCTTTGCATTGGAAAAAAATCATTGTCTAGATCTCCCATAAGCTCAGCTAGCCACATTTAAAAACAAAACAAAACCCCCAAACCCTGCAGTACCCTGAGACTCCTGTGCTCATCAAGACCAAATCTCAGACTCTCTCTCATTGATCAGATTCTCAGCTCTCATCTTTACAGAAGAGCTTTGCTCTCTAAATGCAAGTGTTAAAATATTTGAGTGATAACCGTTGTCAAGATGTTAAACAAATCAGTCTCATCAGTTTTTATGAAGACAGGCTGCTATGTAGTCTTATTTATACAGTATTCAGTTACTGAATAAATTTTTGGTCATCTCTGCTTTTTGGCTAAGAACAAAAGGACTCTTGTCCCTGTATTTGTTTACAAAGCAAAGAATCACATTGAATAATGAAACCCAGACTAATGACAGAGTTCCAATTTCTGTTCAGTGTGGCTCCAGCCGTAATAACTATAATCAAGTCAGCAGAGTCAATCATAACAGAATTAAAGGTTATAACATGGCTACGTTGTGAATTGACAAACCTCTGGATGAAGGATTTTAACTGAGTTAAAAGGCGCAGCTATGTTCTGTGTACACTCCAGAAATATCTAACCGCACAGGTAGTGTGACTGGCTGACAACTTCACTAGCATTACACAGCAAACAGAGCTCCAAAACAGTTTTTTTGAAACACAATGTTAGTAGTCAAATAGCACAAAATCTTACATACTGTAATAATGCCAGCAGAGAACGACATGGTAAATATATTTATCCTTGCTGTTATGCTCATTTTGGGAATTTTTTTTCAGAACAGGTTTACAAGATCTGCCAAGGCTCAGGATTTAACTTGTAGTTTTTCAAGCTGTGTTCTAGCTTGTTTGTTTTATAAATAGCTTGAGGTACAACTCTTCTTTACTAAAGAACTCCTCCCCAAAACAAACCTGATTTTAAAGAAATGCAGATATTTGTACATGAAAAGAATAATCAATTAATTTTACAAAAAAACCTTGAACATTTTTATAATGTCAGAACATCCAAGTAAGAAGCATGCAAGTAAGTATAGGCTAGCATTTCTTAAAGCCATTCTAATACAATTTAAGCAGGGAATGTCACCTTTTCCCAATTTCTGGATATTTCATGTTAGACATACAATGAAAATATTATGACCACTGTAAAAGTAAATGATAGACTGAAGAGTTACCTTGCCAAAAAGTATAATTCACAGATTCAGCATGGCATGCAGAAATAGGTGGATGGTGACTGACCTAATAGCAAGACATGAAAGGAGAAAAAAAAAGATGGACATATTAACACTTGAATAGTCATTTTGGTTTGGGTTCTTTTTTTTTTCTCCTTCATTTTTCATTCATATACGTGCTTTACAAATTGAACATTTACTTTCCTTTTGCAGTTGTGTCCTGAAGGGGGAGTCAGTGAGATTAATAAGGTACTGAGACCTAAGAAGCCTTGAAAGAAATAGGAAGCACTTATTTTAAAAGGCCTGTGAATTTTGTTCATCGAGTGAAAATCTAACTATATATTTTGTACATTGCCTCTAATATGGTAATTACATTTACCCTTAGGGCCCCCTTAATATACTAACAGAAGCCGCACTTCAAGCACACAGACAAAAATAAAAAAAACAAAGGGCCAAATTCTTCTGTACAGTAAATAACCACAAAACGCTGACTATAAGGGAGGAGACAGTGATCAGCATCTCTGAGGGGGCCATGGGTGGAGAAATCAAGCCATGAAATTCCATCTAGAAACCCTTAATACTGCAGTAGTGACACCTCAGGTGTTTCTAGTGCGAAACTAACCATGTGCACTGCATTTTATCAGCTTTGGGTAATAGCACATACATGAATTGGGGCAACCACCAAAATAGCAAAGCAAGGACTGTGAGTAAATAAAGAAACACACAATGGAGGCTATTAAAAGGGAATAGTAAGTAATAAAGTAACTGCACAAAGTGAAAGCAGCCACTCCTCCTTGGCTGTAAATTCTCCCTCTGGGTGAATATGACTAACAACTAACCAGGACCAACTCTTTGACATGTAATGCCTACTGTTTTTTTGAGAGACAACTTTATTTTCAAGTCAAATTGCTATTTCCCACTATGAATTTAATTTCTTAGCCACCTACATGGCTCAAATGCAGTTCTGCTTTCTTCTTCGTTACTCATTTTGCAAATCTGATAATTTTTTTCTGCAGGCATCCGGCATCCAGTTATTTACTGAACATAGTCTACTTGGTTTAAAAAAAAAAAAAAAAAGAGAAAAGTACTAATTACTCTCAGCTATGCCCTAATCCACCAAGAGCAACACTCACTCTCTCACATACTGTACCCAGATTAACCCCAGATGTCACTACAATTCATGGGTTAAACTTAGCTCTCACTTAAACTGTTATAATTCCAGAGTAAGGTCATGGTGCTAAGTGGAGTTATTCTAAACTCACTCTAGTAATAGAACAGAATCTCTGTTATTTTATATGTTTTGCCTATCTATCCCATGGATTACATACTATCTGCACTAGCAAGTTATCTAGAGGAAGCATCAAAATGCTTGCAGAAACAAGCAATAAGCAACAGCTCCTGATGCGAAGAGAAATATTTAATGCGTGCAAGCTGCATGAAATTTCTTTCCTCCTATACTGCCCTCGCTTCCTAATATTCCTCCACTCCATACTATTACAGTAATTTTACCACTCCATAAACTCACGTCACTTATTGCACGTATTAGAACAATAGCTGTTAACAGCCCAAGCCCCCTCATGTATTAAAATTCCTCTTTAGAAAAAGTAGCCTTTGTACTGATTTATCCAATATTCAAGGGAAAATCTCTTCCTTTAATTCAATCTAACATTAAGCACAGTACCAACCTTTATTCACCACTTTGTTACTTCAGTTTGAAGTTACACTGGTAAGCGCAGTGCTCTATACACATCATCTTAGAACTGAAGTAACACAATGAAGACCCAGATACACTACTTGAACTTTAAATTTGATTCTTGCTTTGACTGTTTTGCCTTTTTTTTCTTTTCCTTATTTTTACTCTTGCCTGTGACATTTCCCGAGACTAAGGAAAGATCACATAGCACTCCTTTTTGTCAGTTCTAAAACATAATGTACAAAATGTTGTATCCTCAGAGATGGTCAAAAACACTTTTCGTTTCCTAAAGGAAACCTCTTAGAAGGCTTTCTCTGATCAAATTTCTAGGTTGTACACCCTTGCCCACTGCACTTTTTGGAATTTTTTTTTTGTTATGTAGAGACAGAACGAGACAGCTTTCAATTATTCTTACTATGCTAGGCACCAGGTCATTTAAATTTTATCTCTTTTTAACATATGTCTCAAGCTTAGCAATTTTGGTAACTTGTCTGGTTTAAATTCAGTATTTTTAACCCATACTTAATAATTATTCTCCTGTTGGGGAATTTTTTTCATAAACACTCAGACCTTGATGTGTTGTATACATCCTTCACCTACTAAGCTGTGGTACCAGATTTGAAAAGCCTAGCCCACGAAGTATTTGGACAGGAAGGAGAAATATTCATGGTGCCATAGAAAATACTAGTGGTTGATTGACTCACACAAGGGATATATTTGTTGTAAAAGAAGACATTAAACAGCTGAAGATACAGTATTTTTAATGATCACACACAAAAGAAAATGACAAGAATGTGAATGCTTGTTGCAGTTGTGATCAGATTTCAGCATGGGGAATTGCACTCTACTTAACCAAGTTATCTAGTTACTGGAGTAGGCAGCCTGCCAGTCCTCGCTTCTCAAATGTCAGCTGTTGTTTGTCATGTTCCATCCCAGAGTTAGCAGACTTTCCTCAAAAACCAATTTTCTTAATTTATAATTGTGCAACATCCCTTAAGTTTTGCTGGGCTCAGGTTATGTAAAGTAATTTTGTCTTTTGCTATTAATTCCAGAGGATTCCAGCCATGCATTTAGAATTAAGCAGTGTATCAAGTAGCAAATCTAAGGGTTGCAGCATACAGTACCTGTTCTGCAAAGAACTGGAAACCCTTATCTTCACGAATACATTCGTAGGTTTCTCCAAGCACAGGATTAAATGGCTTACTTCCAGCTCGGTAGTAACTGGATGCATATGCAGAGACTGCAAATGCAGCTATATACACCTGGGAATAACATACATGGAATTTTGATTAATTAATTTACCACAGCCATGCACAATTTTTGCTGTACATTCTGATTTAACAGAAGAAAAAAAAATAAGGTCTTATCCTGACATCAGATTCTGTATTTTTCCCATCATTTGCAGACTACAAACATGCATGCCTCCTGCAAGTTAAGCACTAGCTCACACACTAGAGAATTATTCAGTTTTCAGAGAGTCATTCAAGGGTCCAGGGATGGAGTTATTAGGGTCAAACACTGCAAATTTCACCAACTGAAAACAGCATTTCTGAAAACTCTTTGAAAGAGTTTAGCATTCTGCAACACAGTTCAAAGCAGTAACCTTAAAAATCAGTATAGATTTTGTATTATAACTGGCTTTTATAGTTATGGTCTGTGATTCTAAGGATCTACCAACTCTCCTTTTTCCTAAACATGGCACAGGGAAGTATTGCATGAGTTTTCACCAAGTTTGCTATTTTTAATGCAGTTTGAATTGAATTGCCTTTTATCTACTGTGTGCTACTACCTAATCATGAAACTGTTCTTGATTATGATTGAGACACAGGTAACCCTTCCAAATTTTTGCAGTCAACTCAAGCATAATTCCTCCTTAACCTGAGGAATTAGGATTTGGGGTTGTTTGATTCAGGTCTCTTTTGTACCATTTTTCTCCCTTTTCATTCCCTTTTCCCCATCCTGTGAAAGCGTAGATGCTCTCCTTTCACAATTTCAGAAATTGAATCCACTTCAGAATGGCTCTTTTATGGACTATTACAATTACTATGCAACAGCTAGCATTTATTTTGCTTCAGGAGTTTCTCAAAGGCAAAGAATACTCCATTCTGAGGTAATTTCCAGATGGTTGGGTGTGGGAAGGAGGGAAAAGGCTTCTTTTCACTCCCATATGAACAACTACTGCGTCTTTCCTTTTCCTTTTAACATATGTTCTCAAGAGAACAAAAAAAGCTATGCACCGAAAACCCCAGTAAATAGCCACACCCTCTGTCCTGAGAACAGACACTAAATTGTAACCCTTGAAGAGTGTCAGAATGGAGCAAGAGGCTTTTCAAACTATTTATACACAACTATTTACATTCATTAATAACCTCATTTTACGATAAGATATATTGAGTTGAAAAGGCCTAATTCAGTTTAAGGGACAATCTATAGCTTCCATTTAAGATAATTTAGAGAGCTTTTAATCCCTTATTTATGGGCTTACATATTAAGTAGCTCTTGTGCACCTGGAAGCAGAACAACTGAAATGCATTTTTCACTTGTTCTTTTGCCAAATGCTGAATTCAGGGTTCTGAACTGGCAGAAGATGACACCATTATTGTACCCAACATACAGTCATATTTCCCAGTTTTGAGATCCTGAACATTTTGGATCAACCCCAAAACTTCACAAAACGAGTTAATAAAGCAAATGGAGCTAATTTAGTTAATATAAAGATACCACAGTAGTGTAGGACTGGAAGATCCAGCATCCTCTATGCACAAATGTGTTACCAGATTAGATGCCCGTAAAAAAAGATATATTGTAGCTTTCATACCCAAGAGAGAAGTGTATTAGTTCAACTCCCCTTCCCTTTTTGCTGTAAATTTTTAATCATACAGAGTAAGAGCTGCAAAACAGAACTAAACTACTTCTTTGTTTAACCTTGCAGGACAGCAAGGTACTTGAGGAGACAGACTTTCTGACAAAGCAACACAAATTATGCAGAAGAGTCAAAAATAGTGGGTATATAACTATGTACAGACACACGTTTGGACAGTCTGCCACTCTCAACTGAGAGAAAAAGAAAAATGGAACAGAAAGTCTTCATTTCTTTGGCAGATTGTTTTTATATTTACCCTATTCTAATTATATTGAATGTTACTAAGTATTTGGAATAACATATTTACCATCCGTTCAAATGGGTTAGGCGTATGTGCTGCTTTATCTAGTAGTTCACTGTACTCCAGCTCCTCGCAGAGACGCTGAAGGGTGTTAAGTGGCTCATTTAATTCAACAGGCATGGCCACTTTGGAGAGATCCTTTCCTATGTTATTTCTCAGGATATTCCATAGGCTGATGTTACTCGTATTAGGACATGGGGCTGGTAAGCATGTTCTCCGTTTAGAATTGCATCCAATTCCACTTTCAGAAATACAGTCTGAAAAGGAAGGAAGTGGCACAACAAGTCAATTCACTGTTTACTTAGTTTCATCCCCTTTGCAAACATACATTAAAATGCAACCATCTTTTTTTCTGTCAAAACTTCCTTCCACCCTCACAATTCATTCGAGTATTTCACTTGTGGTTTGAAGATAGCCTGTTATAAAAATGATAAAATTAAGAACAAGATTTTAGTTTCTGTATGTTAACTGAGGTAAATGCCAGGTACAAAAGATGCATAAAAAATGACCTTCCTTCCCCTTAAAGGCTATAAGAAAGACTCAGGCTTTCCATTGAATTTGAATGAGTAAATATTATAACTATTTTATTTGTAACAGAGATGGATTCCTATCTGTTTAAGGAACATAAAATCTCCCTCCTTGACAGAGCTTCAATTAAGTTGACACTTCTCAGAAGGCAAGGCATAACTTACAGATCCAAGCATAATAACAACTCCTACCTATCTTTTCCTACTTTTTTGAGTTCTCCTACCAGGGAAATTTACTGCACCACAGATTTACATGCAGGCTTTTCCACAGTGCTCCCCACAGTGCTTAGCATTTAAAACATTTTAGTGATGTTAGCTTTTAGATACGCCTATACGTTGGTGGAGAAATGGCCTGTTTTAAAGGTGGAAAAGCTGAAGCAACTGTGGAGCTATGGGTTTGCTGAAGATAAAAAAAAAGGACTCAGGTCAAGAATCCTTGATATGAATATCTGAGGTCTGTGTTGCCCTGTCAAAGCAATCGGAACAGGATAAATAGTTCTAAGTGTGCCATGAAATTATTTGTGGCAGAATCAAAATAGAGCTACAAGCTTCTGCAACAGGCACTAGTCTGAAGTAATTACATTGCTTAGCTGTACATCAATCTCATTTCAGAGAGGAATATGGTTGCCACTACAAGAACATATTTTATCTTTACACGTCCTTAGAAGCACCTAGGAAGCTCCTGCCCTAGAATCAGTTACCATTTGGAGACATTCAGGTATAGCCCCAGTCTGTCAATCCCTGTCCTCATCCGGCTTTCCTCACACTGCTTTGTCTTGGAGGAATTAAAACAGCACTGGGCAGCACATCTTTCCTGTGCTGCACATGCCCAAAGAATCACTGCCCTTAAATGCACGATTTCAACCAGTATTTCCTCTGCTGGTCCACTGACATAAGCATGATATCATTAGTGCTTCCAACAGTGACAAAGTATAGATAACCACAAGGGCTAACTTCTTCATCACTGCCATGTATGCTAGCCCATGCCTCAGATGGAGGTTTTCAAGTGGAATCAGCAGCCTCAAAGTTTTGAGGAAGAAGTTTCCATCTTTCCTGCCACTCTCAAACTAGAAATCCTAATATCTCATATGACTGAGTTACGGTAACAAGGACAGGTGAACTATTTGCAGTCTGCTGCCTATCTTTTTCTTTTTGCATAAAAATGACACACAGGCACTATGAATCAAAAAATCTACCTGAAACAATTGTACTGTTAAGAGGTTGGCTCCTATACTTCCCTCTTAGAAGAATTTATTTAATATCAGAAGAGGCCAAAAAGAAGGATGTTCCCTTAAATACCTCAGGAATGAGGGGATATCTGGAGAGGAAGGAGGTAAATGCTAAAAATTTATCCTTGTTCAAAAGAACTCTCTGAAATGGGATTTGGCTATGTCCTTTGACAGCTTCTGATTAAAAGCAGAGTACTAATTGACTGAACTACATACTCCGGACTAGCCCATTAATTGGGGTAAACTGGTGACAAAACAGAGTAGAGAAACAACTAATATATTCAGATACCAAATTTTCTATACAGTGAAGTTTACCCACCCCCCGTGAAAAGAAAAGCCCATGCAGTTCTGATTTGCAAGAGCTGTGACAAATGGCCAGCAAAAATACTGAAGGAGATTAAGACATCTGACCTCCAGCTAGACTCAATGACTTTTAAGGCCAGACTGGACCATTATCATCATCTAGTCTGGCCTTCTACATTACAGTGGCCAGAGGATTTTATCATAATCCCACAATTTAGGGTTCAGCTAAAGCCCTGTAGGAAAAAGACATGCAGTTTGCTATTAATGGGAGTGGCAGGCTGCCCAAAGCACAGAAACAGCAGGTACCAGAAGCACGTGGAGGTGCTGCTAATATGGAAGAGTGATAGTCTTTGTTACAAGAAGATGAACAGCCACACTAGTACAGTTTTCTAAGGTCCAGATCATGAAATAAATCAATCTGTATTCTTTCTTATCTTTCAAAAAAAATCTTCATTTTTAAACAGTTACAGAATACAACAGATCTCCAGGCATATCAAACTACCCAAGTATGTAGGGATCCACTGGTCCTTGGAGACAGTCAGGAAACAGCTGCTAGTAAGAAACCACTGTTCAGCATTTTTGAAGATAAAAATATAGATAGAATGGGAAGAACATTGTGGTTAGCTGAAAGGAGCTGAAGGCACAAAGCCAATTAGTTTGTTATGACCAATTCTTCTCCTTCTTTTTTTGATTCTGTCTCTAATTAGCAAGACAGTTAAATAAGCATATGTACTAACAAGACTGTCATGATTAAAACATGCAAAAAAGAAATCCTTATGGTCATACACCAGGCCTGCCAGTGTGTAATTATTCTCATGTTCCTTTAAACACTGAGTTCTGCTAAAAACAACAGAACTCTGAATGCAGTTGTTAAATTGCGACTGAAAAAAGAGTGACAAGAAGAAAATTACTTTTTGAAAAAAAGAAAGCAGCTAGGCCTTGCTACTTTGAAAAAACCTGTGGCCATGAAAGGAACTGAAAAGGAGTGGGAGTTGCACCAAAGAAGCCAAGAAAATAGGTGTTTCTCTGCTGATACAGCACGACTATCCTGCTTAATCAACAGTGCCTGGGCCCTGTTAATCGGATTAGCCAGAATGTGCTGTTTAAAACCAATCTGAGGCTGTAAGAGAAAAAACACAGGCTGTTTACATCTCAAAAACTGTAATATCAAATTATTTCTAGTAAGAGAAGGAAAAAAATATCCCAAACAAAAAGAAACAAAATTCTCAAAACATGGTATAATAAAACACTGAACCTACCTAAAGTTTGTCTTTCATTCTCCATGTCATTGCTTAGGTTATCTTCTGAGACATTATCACTGATATCACTTACGTATGAGTCATCATCTGATACCTGAGTGTGGGGTGGGGAAATAAGCAAGATACATCACTCATTAAAGTAACCCCATACGCACATGAAAATTGTTACTTTCCACTGCAATTATTGTTTTAATAGATTTGAACTGTTTAAGCTGTCTTTCAGTATTACAGGAAGGTACTAAGAAGTCCTAAGAAGACACAACTGAGTTTGGGAGAGATCATCATCATTGAAAATTCAGCTATTCTTTTAGTGGAGAATAAATCTTCATCTTCTTGGCCCCACAGCTAAGAAGGCTTTCCTCATATCAAAAGCCAAGGTTTTTATGGAGTCCAAGAGAGGTGACAAAATGAGCTATTAAAATCCAATATGCATGACATCAGCCCCAAGGTACCTACAGGTACCACAAGGACAGGTATGAATATATATTTCTGTGATACAATTTCTAAAGCACCTGTATAACAACTCAAGCCAGACAGTACAATATATGCAGTATCTGCATATTAGCTACCTAATTGCCATTTGCCTCAATGTGCATATAAGACTTCTCCATACTAATTGTTACATTTTCCTGTGAAGAGGCAATGACAACAAATAAATACATGCAGCATATTAATTTCTAAATGGTTTGAAAATTTTCATTTTCTGGCAGTCATCTGATGTGCAGTTAGCACTCAGAAAGACTGCATGCCAAGTAGCAGATGAGAAAATACATCAGAATGATGTCAATCTTAATGCTCAGACCTCATTTTCTGAAGAGCTAGCAGACAGTAGGACTTCCTGTGCATCAAAAAATTCTGTGAGAGAGTCAGCTATAGACAGTCTGCTTTCATTGGAGACCTGGTGAACCAGACCTCTGCTTTCTTCTCTCGAATTTTCCTGTTTAGAAGAAATAAAAAGTTTTGAGAGGAGAAGTACCACAAATAGCATTCATGCACGCAATTCCACATTCACGTAACTTAAAGGGCTGTAAAACGCTTGGAGAAGATTGCACATGCTCCTCTCCAATTTAGTGAAAGGTAGCATGTGTTTCAAAGGGGGATTTAAAACCAAAGTAAAACAGACCAAAGAGAAGAAGAAAAAAAGAAGGGGAAAAAAGGCAAAGCATATTCAGTAAATCAGTTATGGCACTGCATGTACTTTTTCATAAAAAAAAAAAAAAGGTAAAAATGCTTTGATATTTGAATGATTTAGCCAGATATACACAAGTATATCATCAAAAAGCCCCCAAAAGAACAAAACACCCATCTCTTTATATTACATCCTAGATTCACATTCCCTTCTGATCTTAGCAAATGAATTAATCTTTTCCTCCCAAGCCTTGCTTAATGCAAAGCCTGCAGTGCAGTGGCATACAAAATTCAGAGGGGCAAAGTTACTTTCTATGTAATAGCAATGCTTTCCTAGCTCTCTTTCTTCACTAGATAATTGTGACAATCTTCACGCACTATGCTGTGCTTTGGAAAGCCTTCCTTCATATCCACACCTGAGATAGCTCTGTGTTAACCAAACCAACTTATCAAAGTCACGTAAGCGACATTGCTTTTGCTGCTGCAGGCATGTTTGACTGCCACGGAGATCTCGGTAACTCTTCCCATGGAAGCTCTACAGATCATTGGCGTAAGCAGAGTTTGAAAAGGTGGCCTAGCAAAGGTGGGTGACCAGTGAGACTTGGTTCATTCTGTGGATGCAGTAAAAAAGTTGGAGAACATTGTGCACTATTGTTTTCCCTGATAACTCCACCAATGCTAAGAAAAAGGGCTAGCTGGCCCAAAGGAGTGTATTAGCTGCTCTCAAGCTTTTCAGCATGAGATGGTTTACTAACTTGTAACCATGACTGCCCTATTATAATTTTGCAGGAATTGTACTGTTTTACTTTCAAAACAACATAATGAACAATCTGACAAGTCTATAATCAAACTGACAAATCTTCTTTCAAGGCTTTTCTGCTAGTAGATTTTACTACAGTATGGAATGTTATTCAGTACGTGCTGATAATGGTGACATGATAACAAAACAAACTGTTATCGTACAAGAGACTTTTTTTCATAAAAAAACCCTTCTGATAGAGCAGCAAGAAAAGAGAAAACCTCAACATGGTCTCTGGTGTGGGAAGGCAGTTACACTAGCCTACAAGTTAAAAAAAAAAAATCTTACACACGTGAGCATTGCTACTGGGATTGTTTCCAATACTATTTTGAATCTGAGAAGGAAAGTGAGCAGGAAAGGCTCATAAAAGAACAGCACGTTTTTATATCTATCACGTGAGAGTTTCAGGTTGTCTTCTTTCATGTTCCCACTCTGGCATGACAAACTACAACATAAACTGCCCAATAGACAAACTAAACTTCTACCTTATACAAAGGCTTGAGATACTAGTTTATACTGCTTCAATTTTCACAGGTCTATCATAGCACCTGATGTGTCATTTAGAGCCAAGTTTTGTGCAGTGGCCCCGTCTTCCTCACAGCAGCACTACTGTATCACAGTCCTCAGACAAACCTAGAATGAAGCTTCTCCAGCATAAGTGATTTCATCCTTAAGTTCCATCCCAAACCATGCTAGAGGGATTCTGTGACTGAAATCTCTAAAGGACCTTTTGAAAGCTATTTTTGTCGTGTGTGTGTGTATATAGTGCCTAGAACAAGTTTCAGAAATAATCCATTGTCATTGCAAGGACCTTCACTAAATAAGAAAATAAAGAACTCCTGAAATTAAAAAACAATGCATTAATGCTTGTCTGGATAGCAGTTTAAGTGCTGTTCAAATTCTCATGGGATTAAAAGCAAAAGGCATTAGAATGATCAACTACCTTAAAGAAAAAAAAAAACAAACGGCTAAATATGACCAAAACACGGCTCTACTAAAACAGAGCTAAACCAGAAGTGAACAGACAGAATGACTAAACTGCCTTTAAAAATAAAAGGAAATAATAAGTTATATAAAACCCCCAGTGTTACATCCACTCAAGTTCTAATGAAAGATTTATACTACAAGCATAACACAAATTTGGATATGAGTTAACATTTAGGAAAATCCATCAGAAATAACACAGTTCTTGCTTCCCTCACTAGCACCATTAACACCTAGATCCTATGACCTATAAATACACCACATTCACATGCATTCTGCAGCAAGCCAAAAAACTGTCTGAACATCAGTATGTCTCAAACTGGCTAATTGGATATGTAGAAGTATGCACTCCCTGGCTTCACACAAAGAAAACCAAATGGCTGAAAGGGCTCTTGTACATCTCATTTCTTTGATCCTTTCATGGAAATGTCTGATAGTTGTTCTAAACCTTAAACAAGCCACGCTGGTAGCCAGCGTTCTGGGCTAACAATATTTAGACAGCCAACAGAAAGAATTACAGAACTTGAATGTTAACAAGGGAATAAGGGGTAAAGAAACAGTAGCATGAGGGTAACAAGACGGCAGCTCTGTTCATGCTGAATGGGAAGCGGGCAGGAGGAGAGGGAGAACACCAGGAACCAGTAGCAAAAAGCAATGGAAGTGTGCTCAGGAAAACTGCTCACAAGGAAAGTCTTTGAAATCAAATATTACACAATGCATCATCAGAAATGACTCATAACCATGAAAGCGGACTCGTTTTACTAACACAATACGCCATAGCGAAAACATGAAGAACAGGACAAGATGCAGCTACGCAGCACTGTCTAGATGTAGGGGCTTGTGGAACAGACATCACTGAAAGAAGAAATCCATACCCACCTTCACCAAATCTGGACTTGATTTTGCATTAGATGCTGAATCAAGGATCATAGATTCGGCATGTATTCTGCGTAACCGGTCTTTAAGATCTGTGTTTTGTGCTATTGCCTGGAATATTTAACAAAAATATTGGGGATATAAAGTTCTCTCAACTAACTTGAATGTGGCTTTACTGTGTAAAAAGGGGTGAAGAGTATTTAAAGTGCAGTATAAAACACCATCACCACATGATTTTTCACTGGTTCAGCAAATGATTTATTAAAACGCTTCAAACCTCGTTCCTTATCTGTCAAATTAAAACTATTTTTGTTCAGTGTGAGGGAAAAGACACACAAATGGAGGAAAAAAAGCCAAAGATGGCAGGGATATTTCAAGTTACCAGGTTTTGCAAGCTGATTTAATAAATTAATTTTGTGCATCTTTTTTCTTTTCAAGCTCCCTTCCTTCACCCGTCTCCAACCTCGCCTCTATCAACATTAATTCTTACTTTTGCCACATCCAAAACCATTCAATTTTCCCATCAGCCTGCTATACTGACAGTTCCCTTTGCCTTCCGCTGACAGAGAAATAAGACTTAAATTCAGACAGGTACAGGTACAATTTATGTCCTATCAGCTTATAATGGCAGTGATCAGAATAAAAAGCCTCTACTGCAAACTCATGTTTGTTACATGTTATTTACTCATGCTAGGTGCATCTGATGGACAGGTGTCAGTTAGAGTAGACTTGTAGTGTTACATGTTATTTACTCATGCTAGGTGCATCTGATGTTAGAGTTAACTAACTGATGTTAGTTAGAGTGGACTTGTAGGAAGAGAATGCAACCCTGCCTGCAGTGAAAAGATCTCTGAAAAAAAAAGATTGGGTTACTAATTTTGGAAGAACACTGAAGACTTACTGCCCATTTTAGTGAACTGAATCAACACTAGGATGTGGAGAACCCTGCTGTTTACACATCTGCTTTGTCCCACAAATGCTTCTGATTTTGACAGTAAATTTTTGTTGGAAATAGTCTTGAGAGCAGGAAAGACAGTAAGCTCAAAGTGATGATGGGGGGAGAAAGTAATTTCTGGCTTTACATATGTGTGGTCTGAATTGGCCACACAGGCATATATCACTTTTGTGTCAAGTGTTCAAGTGGACAGCATTGTGTTATACCCACAACATCAAATAAGTGCAAGAAAGAATTTACACAGCTTTCCTCTAATAGCATCTTCCAATTTTCATTGTTTGCTACAAAGTGTTTTCTTCTTTCTATTGTCTTCTTCCTCGCCCAAACATAAAAATATTGTATTTTTCCCCATTCTGTATTTGCTTTTCTTAGACTGTGTGTAGGTCAAGGATACTATCTTAATGAGGGAGAAGCAGACAGAGAGATGCTAATTTTGTGGTGCTTTATCCACTTTAAATCTGTTCATTTTTCTTCCCCTGCCAGGCTGATGAGAGCAAAACAGACTTATGTTTGATAGCTTTCAACCTGTGAGTCTGACTTTTTGTTCCTCACGTACAGAAAACAAACTGAAATGAACAACAACAAACACGAAGTCAGTGTCATCCACACAGGACTCTCTTTCAAGTTTATCATATCTGTGCTTTCATACGTCTTCAAAGGAAGCTTATTCCTTTCTCCTACAGGATCTCTTCTCCACAGGGTGAGAAAATTTCTGTTGGTATCATGGCTTTACAGATCTGCAGGCTAAGAATAGCTCTCACAGGTGTTAACCGCTGCTGAAACTGCCAAGGTTCACAGACAACTTCTGAACGGGTTACAAAAGGCTTATTAAGTATCAGATAAGACCTAAAAGCATGACTTTTAAAAGACATTTAGAGGATGAAGATGGACAACAGAATTTCATTGCTCAGAAAAAAAAATTCATGCTAAGCTGAGTGTTCACTGAGTTCAGAAATCTTAAAACAGTTTTTTTTTTATAAAATGGTAGGCAAATAACACTGGAAAAATAAAAGTCACCTATTCAAATATCAGAAGTGGAACATCTGAAAGCCAAAAACAAAGAAGCGCAAATGAGTGAGTACAGTTATAGAACAGGTTTCAGCTTTCTCTAAATACTATGAAGACATCAGAGCCTCTAAAGGTCTAGGCAGAGAGGCACGTTATACGCTTAAAAAACTATAACCATACGCAGCTTTTGTAAAGCAAAAGGAAGTTTTCATACTGAAATAATTCTAAGATGATCTATATCACATTTATCAATGCCAGAGAGTCTCCCCTGCCTCTGATTAGGAATTTGCAACAAACACTGAAATCTTAAGACCATGGTAATGATGGCACTCGTTGTTCTGAAATCAGATCACTGTTTGGTTGACATGTTCAAACATGACCAACCTGAAAGTTCTGGTCTCAACCAATTACAAAAAGCACACCAATCAAAAACCCCCACCTTTTTAAAGAGCACAATTTTTTGTCATTTAGAACTCTGCCCTAACAGCTCCATTTGCTGCTTTTAGATGACTAACAGATAATTAAGGTTAGAAGTCAATATAAACAAGTTGAACTTGAATTTGCTTTGCAGTGTCTTGGTGCAGCATGGTGAAGCTCTAGTGCATTAGAAGGGACAGCTGAGTGCTTTCAGCCACTCTCACTTTTATTTTATGCCAAGTCATACAGTGAATACTTGAGTGCTGTTTAGGAAAAGAAAAGGAAAAGGAAACCTGCAACCTACCAGAACTGAGTGATTAAACGGTGTATGTTTTGAGAGAAAGTAGAGTCATCGTCACAGAGCAGCCCTCTGATTCTTATCAAATGATACAGATTATACCATATACCTAAATCAATCTATCAGACTTCAGTGATTTCACAATACCTTTAACATTTAGGAAAGAGTCTTTGAAAAACACCATATATAATAACTTACTATGATTCAATACTGCAAATTCTAGCACAGAACAGACACTAAAGAAACAGAAATTAACTACTATAAAATTTAAAAGTAGTATCTGATGACAATGAAGCTTGCTGAGCTTCAGCATGTCACTTACGGATGTTAAGGCATTCTTCAAGCCAACTATTTGTGCAGATGGAGATGAGGATGCATCATGCTCCAGCACCTGCTTCAGCTTTTCTCTCTCTGTGGATATGGTGCTGAAAGCTGACCTCAAGGTGAAGTAAACTAGAACCATTTCGTAAAAATTGACAGTTAAAAACAGCTACCAATTGTATACATACCAATTATGCAAAACTTCAATGAAACATCATTTATGGTGACAGAAACAAGAATTTAGGTTGAGAGATCCAGGGTGGGTTACTAAAAACAAGTAATATTAATCAAAGTTATAGGGTAGATTTTTTAGTAGGAAAAATGTTTACGGTGAACACTACCGTGTTGGCTATATTAGCCACAGTCAAAATTACTCTGATTATTTGTGACAGATGGCAACAAAGCTAACTAACCACATCTGCTCTTCACTTGCTTTTGTTCCCCAATTAGCTTGAATCTTCAGATGGTCATGACTCTATTCCACATTCCTTTAAGTATTCCAGTGGGGGAGAAGAAGAGAGGGAAGAAAAAAAAAATGAAATAGAAAAAAAATAATCAAAAAAGCAGCTATAACACATACTGTGCCACAGCTGTAGGGTTAGTAGTTTCCCCACAAGGAAGTCAACTGTGGTGTTGAGTTTTGTTATCTCTTTTTGGGATAAAGAAATTTCAGCTTGTTAGATGATTTAGTGACTCAAAGGGTCAGATCCTGAATGTTGTGCACGTTACGCTGCTACTTCTACTCCTTCCTGAGCCAGTATCACCAGCCTGAAACATTTAAATCAGACAACAGATCATGCAATTTTAAAATCACTAGATTTTTAAAGGGGAAATGCACTTTCCTTACTTTTTTACTTTTAAGACATTTAATCTTTTCTTTAACCACAAGGAATAAAAATTTATTCGAGTAATATTTGTTTATGTAGGATTTCAACATTCATCTAACTGGAGAATGAGAGGATTTCTGAGGGCCTAATCAAGCCTTGTAATACAGTCATGAGAACTGTATCCATTTACAGGGAAATGAAGATGTAAAATCTGAGCATGGATGCATGGAAAGGGCAAAGAACAAGAAATCTCTGATACCTCCCCCTTCTAATCATCCACTCTGAGTTAACTTGAATCATCATCACTTCACTGAGTATTTGCTGTAACCTAATTTACTCTTCTAAGAAAATATTCTTAAGGTATATTTCAACACTGCAAACCATTACTGAAGCTAATTCTCATACTTGAACCTATCTGAAGAAATCTTTAACAGTATCACAGGGGATGGGGACAAAGAACTATCCACTATGATTTATTTTGTTAGCCTTTCATATGTGGATGACATGACCAGAATCTTCAGTGATCTTAAATGTCATTTAATAAGTTGTATACTAACTTAAATTTTCAAGAATTATTACATACTAAAGTACTAATGTTACATTTCATTTAATTTATATCAAAAGCTAAAGCAAAAGTTTTCTTCACTACCCTGTTTTGGGAGGGGTGCGGTATAAAGCAACTTTGGAAAAAAATTCTTTGTACTCTTAATAAAACAATACTGTATTAAATAGTACCAAGTCAATTGTCCCCTCAAATGCATGGGTCAACCTAACTAAAATTTCTGACTTGGACATTTCAGGCAAGATGATCTTGAGTAGGTGATCTCTTTGCTCTGCTTAATAGCAACTTTTCCAACTGTGCCCACCCTTTTTGGAAAACATACATCAGTTTTGAATATAATTGACTTTATAAAGTTTACTACTTAGGTATATTCCTTACATAACGGAATCAATCAGCACCAGAGGGCAAAAACAAGCAAAGAATGCTTATTGATAACATGAACCATTATCTTGTGCAAAAGGGGCAAAGCCAATACTTCCAAAAGTCTTTCAGATATAAATGCTTAAGTGCCTTCCTCACCAAGATCACTTAAACAATAAAAATGTTTCTGGTGCGACGCTGATGGAGCAAAGCACTGCTAATGAAAAATGATTTTGGGAGAAGAAACATTTCTAGTCAAGCTGCCCCTCTGGCTGCTTTACATGATTTTACTTTTCTGTATTCACTAAAAATAGGTTACTACCATAGCAACCCTTGCATCACCAACAAATGTTGACTCTGAAATACAGTGAAGCACACCGAATATACAAACATACATGTGCTCATATACACACATATGCATGTAAACACAAAAGAGTATAATCTGCTGTTGTGTTTATAGCAACTGATTTTAGGATTTTTACCTTTTGACAAAAAAATACAATCTGGGTTTTTAGCACATAAAACAAAGGGCTGTCCTTTATTAAATAAAAAACAAAAAAATGTTATGATTAAGCCACTTTTTTTCAAATTACTCAAGATCTCAACATTTTCTGCTTTTTCTAAACATTAAACAGGAAGCATTCTCAGAACTCACATCATTATTTAAATTGCAATGATACAAAACCACATATGAAAGACAATTTCATTTACCTTTATGTGCAATATGAAATAAGTCCTCTTGCATTTTAGTAAATTCTGATGATGCTTCAGAGCCATCAGAGTAATTTTTCTCCTCTACAAAATCTATTGTAGATAAGTTTGGATTGGAAGCATGCAGTCTCATAGGGGCAGAAAATACTGAAGGCACCTGTAAGGAGGAAAGCCGTTTGTGATGTTTTTACAAACTGCAAAGAAAATTTTGTTTTACTGTACCCACCCGGGTTACATGTTGGAGGCACCAAAACTGGAAAAACTGCTGTCAATTACCAATAGGCTTGGAATGGATGACACCTGGCAAATGAAACCATAGATATAACTTTGCCCAAGATATCATAATTGGAGATTTGGCAAAACTCCAAGAAACAAGCCCATTGAGAGCTGTAGCATATGCTATACTATTTTTCCCCACTTATAAGTATCTAATCACATGGCCTCTGGATACAAATGTGTACAAAACTATCTGGAGAATTTGCAAAAATCTGTACTGATAAAAAACCCCAACACCGCAACCCCCCCAGATTGGAGGCAGATTGAAAACATGGGTAAAAAACATGACCAGTCTCCTGAAAGTAACAGCACAGATCCTATTGCAGATATCAATGACAACGTATTTGTGTTTTGTCTGATAGATTACCACTTAAAATGAGCTAGCACAGAACACTACTTAGAAAGGATTAATATTTCCTAAACTGGTCACACCGAGAAGTGATCAATAACTAAGATTTGAAGAAAGATGGGCACTGAAAGGACTGAAGTCACCTGTAACATTCCTTTAGCCTCTTTCCCAACAACTCTGGATCGCCACCTCCTGTGTGTTCTCTTTTCCTTCTTTGGGCTTTCAAAAGGTCCAACCTTTTAACAACAAACAGGACAAAAATAATACAGATTGCCATGAAAATAGAAGAGCTAAGAAGAAATACCTTGGATCCTTTAGGATTTGGGGTTGTTTTTTGGAATTGCAAGGGAAAACTTTTTTTGGTTTTGTTTTTTAAACAACAAACCTGCATAGCATTTATAGCAGGCGCTGAATATGTCCTGTGAAGAACATCCATGCTCTGTAACAGCTGGTTCATTTCCAGTAAATATGTGTGACAATTGGAGAGGTCTGTTTTGAAAAAGAGAGTATTTTCAGTTGCCCTAAAGTAACAGACACACTGAGAGTTTTTTTCTTCGTAGGTTAGTCTTATTTTGATTGTAGCTAGCTTAAGTTATTCATTGACTAAAAGCACATTATTAGACAACTGGATAAAAAGCTTGTATCCTTCTATCTTCATGTTCAAATTCAAAATACTGAAATGCATCTACATGGTGTGTATAATGATCACGATATTTTATCCTAGTTGGTTGCAGAAAAATGAGAATAACGTGATAATTACTGCAGGTTGGGACTAGTCAGAGCTCCTCATGGTGAGGGTAACAATGCCATAGGCATCAAGACTGAGTTGTACATTCAGAGCTAGAGATGAGGCTCCTCTATATTAGAGCTGAAGCTCACTGGTAGGCAGAACTTTACCAAATAAGTATCACACAGACACTACCAACATGAGAAAGATCTTCATGCTCTTAGGAAAGCATGAAAGCAGAACGTGACTTTGAAGTAGGAAGATTTAGTGCTTTTTAAATGACTAGATTTTAGATGCTTCCCTTTTTTGAATACCCAGCTTAGGAAAGGTCAAATCTTACTACTGAAGGTGATGTTCGTATATAAAAAAAAAGTACTGAAATATATAGGTTCCTTGAAGAGGTGCCCACAATTGTTACCCCCACATCCAAAATCACTAGTCCTTTTGAAAAGAAGTGAGTAGCCAGTTAATCAACAACCACCCCTTTCCTCCCTCCAGTTTCAGAGAAAACTCTAACTGTAATGACTACTTACAGTGTAGTATTCTTGTCAAGAAAAACTAGGGGAAATAGGCTACTTTCAACTTCCTTCAAATATCATTACCTCTTGAGCATTTTTCCATGTCTTCAGAAGACTGTAGCCAAGATGAAATCCTGGACTCATTACTTGAAAAGGAAAATGACAAATTACCTCCAGGTGACAACGAATTCTGTTTGGTCAAGCTGCCTGCCTGTTCCAAAGAAGAACAAGTGAATTATTAACAAACAATATCTTAATGTTGTATGCACCAATTTTGACAACCAACAGTTGAGGTCCATGATCAGGGACAAGGACTGAAGGCATCAATAACATGGAGGAGAAAAAGTGTATGAACTAGACTAGGTGTACAGTCATTGAGCATAACGTCAGGATATCTAACATAACTGCTGTCCACAAGCAGTAGAAATACTAAACGAACCATACAAATTTGCTGAAAACTAAATTTTGAGGAAGGGCAAAGTTCTGCATAAATTAAGTCAACTTAATACAATTAAAGCACCATATCTGAACAGAACCAAAGCCGGACATTCTGTTCCTTCTTCATGCTCCCCAAAGAAGCCCCCAAAGTAACTTAAATGTAACATGCACATATTTGTTAAAGCTATTTTTCAGTGAAGAAACCAAGATCTACTAGATGTTATTTAAAAATTTTACTCAATGTTGTATGACTTTAGCATGGATTTGACTTGACAGGTCTTAATAGGTGTGTGACCATACACCTCATCTGGGTAAATACCCTTTTACAACGTCTCAGTAACCATTTTCAAACTGATCTCATTTTCAGCAGTGCCCACTATCAGATGCTTCAGGAGATGCTGGAAATTCTGTGTAAGAGCTAACTGAGCAGTAAAATTAAGTAGCTTCCAATGGGAAGAAATTTCTACCCAATACTATTACCAGTTGATTGTGGCCTATAATGATGGTTTCTTCTCTAATGTAACTACAAATAATAGCCATTCAAATGCCTCATAATTTTTAGACCTTACTAAACTTTTCATTTTTAATAATATCTATGTCAGGAAGTTGCACAAATTACATGCTTTGTCAACGTCTTGTTTAAAATCAGTTTTAAAATGTTTCATCTTAAGTGACATTACATGACCACTTTACTGGTTATGAGAAAAGCTGACTAAATTGTTTGGCTTGTCTCTGAAGCATACACTTTACAAACTTTGTTACCTCCTGCTCACCTTATATCAAAACTCAGGTAGTATAGTTTTAAATCTATTCATAGGAAACATCATCTACATCGCAGTCAGCTGCCGTATTCTTAGTTGGTCTTTTTAAATTTACAATATAAGCTCCAACCTGAGTTGCAGAATAAAATAAAATGCACTATCCACATGATGTCATTCAGTACTGTGTAAATTTGTATAGTCAGTATGCAATAATAGTAAGCACCAATAAGCACACTTATTTTTAAATTAATCTATGTAGTTTAACTGTTTTATTCCTACATAAAGCTGTATGAGCTTTAGTCATCTATATATGTATACCCAAATAATAATCCCAGCACCTTTAAAAGCACAAGTAAACTGAATTTAAAGATGAGCAATTGTATTGGCATTTTGTGAACAAATCCCACATTTATCTCTTCAGAAATCTATCTCATGTAACCAACTTTTCCAGAACTCATACACATGAGGGGCATGAGCAGGAGGGAAGAAGGAAGTAGGCATTGCCAAGAAACGGGCAAGAGAGAGTTTGTGTAGCTCCAGTTAGCATAGTTTTGCTTTTGATCAGCATGGCTAAGCTTTAAAATCCAAGCATTCCACATAAACATATGTAGATACATGCACCTACCTCCCAACAACAACAAAAAAACATATGTGAAAACCGATCAGGTGTTTCTAAAAGCAAATAAAATGCAATGCAAAGCTCACTTGATATATTTTTCTCAAAATAACCTAACTGCTGGATTGATATCAACTAACATCAAACTAGGACTGGTGTAAATTGGCAAACTTCCATTTAGCTTCAGCAGAGCTAAGGTGATTAATTGCAGCTTAAGAACTATCCCCTTCTATTTTTCACATGAAAATAAGTAAGGCTTCTTCGCAGTGCAAATCTGGATTAATAAATTAGAAGTGAATTAAAGTCTTTCATGCCAAAGAAAAAATGGTTAGTTTCCTGACAGTGAGCATAGATTTTAGATATGATGGTTACATGGAATTTTTTTTTTTTTTCTTTGAGAGCACAGGCATAGATATATCACGGGCTTTGCAATGTTCCACTTTTGCCCTTGATATTCGTCTCCCCTTCTATCCCTGCTGTCTTTTGGGAGAAAAGAACTAAATGGCCACAGGAGGTTTGCCATTTCCTTGCAGACACAGCCTCAGAAGAGCAGGCTGTCAGAGCCACAGAGGTGCTGGCACCATGGAAAGCATGCAGACAGCTCTTTGCAGAACAGCCCTGTTACCACAGGGTGAATTACTGTTCTTTCAGCTGCCCGCTTGCACAGATCCCCTCCCTCTCAACCACTAGCAAAAAGCTGTTCAGGCACGTAAAACTAATACTCAGTTACAGCATAGTCCTACCAAAGTGATGAACTGCAGGTATTGGGGAACAAGCCCACTCATCATACAGCAACACAGCCAGGGAAAAGAAAACCTTAGACAGCAGAGTAACAAAGAGGTGATTGCTGTTTAGGAGACGCTCTGGAGTTGACAGAAACAGAGAGCCGTTTCAGTTATAGTAAGTAACACCGTATTGCTAAAAAAAGACATTATTCTCAAAAGAGATCACGGTTTCTAAACTAGAGCAGAAAAGCTTCTTTGGGTGAACGTCAGCCAGTCAATGTGCAGACTGCTGAAGGCACAGAGGTTGTGTTCAGGCACAGGACACAATCACTCTTCTGTGAGCCTGCATCAAAGAGGTCATTTATGGTGTCAGACTGAGCATTTGTCAGGTCATTTGTGAAACTAACGCTCACAGACTACCTAAAGAGAACTACACTGCTGACTGCATCCATCCAGACCCCATACCCACCTACAGCATGGTCCTTGGATTGGTTTGAATAATGCTTCTACCTCACTTAAAAATATAAATAGTGGCTACAGGTGATGGCTCTTGGATAATTCCTACATACTCCTCATGTAAGCACAGTCAGATTCATTAATGTAAAAGGGGAGAGGTTTTATTAGCTAAAGGATAAATGAAAAAATGCTAAAGGGGAAAAAAAAAATCTAGCTGAGTACTCTTCTGTGACCCAGACTAATATTCACCAGCATGTATCAGACACATACTGATATATGTCTCAAAAATTATGAGGATTCTAACTCAATATGCAGTTTTAAAAGTCATCATGAAAATATAATTTACTGCATTAAAACAATGAGACAATATTATGAAATTTAACAGCATCATAGAGAAAACTGCTTGGGAGTAAATCAATAAATAATATCATCTTCCTCTTGACACGTTAGTTCATAACGTAAACCCCACCACAAACTTCCATTATGCTCTTTACTTAATAAACACAAATCAGACTAATTTAATCCCTGATGAAAGCTTATTATTTGTAAATCGTAACTATTACCTTTCTACCTGGAGTAGAATCACAAAAACCAGGGACAGAGTCCGCAGTAGTAGACACAGGGAAGAAAAGATTATTGACGTCATGAGGAAACATGGAGATTTCATTCTGACGGTACATTCTGTGATGACGAAGTTTTGCTACCCATTCATCAAACAGGTCCTGAGATTTCACCTACACAAAATTTCAGGTTTTATAACATTCACATTCAAAATCACTATCAAAGAAACTAAGGTATTTTGTGCTCATTAGACAGCTAGCCTGGCTGACCTTTATTGGCAAAATATCAGGAAAGTTTTTCTAATGATGCTCCTACTAAAATGCATACTGTATGAACTTAAGCATGACAGAAAATTAATCACAGGATAAAGTCAAGAATAAGAGAAAGTTCGATTAGTATAGTTATGACTTCCAATGCAGAACACAATACCTAGCAACTTCTAGATGGAAAAAAAAACCAATATAAATAAAAAAAAATTTAATTTGTCATTTCTTAATTGCAATTTTTAAGGTTTAGTCAAGGTTTAACTAGCCACAAATAGAAATTTGATTTTGGTGATGTATTTTAAAACAATTTATTCCACAAGGATAGACAAATCTACATATTTGACTGTGGAAAATACTTCCTATAGATAAGACAAAGAGCAAGATACAACTACTGAAAATAAAAGCACTTGTGCAACAAGTGCATACCCTTCGCTGAAAAAAGTGCCGGGTGAAAAGAGTGCTGCTAAACATGAGGCATCTTTGAAGTTTCTATTCAGAACAGGGTTACTGACTCTGGAACAGTACAATAAGACCTCTCAAGTTATAAAGTGTAAACTAGCCTGCTGGGAATAAAAGTAAGTTATTAGTGTAACTAACAGACCTCCTACTGATAAAAAAAAAAAAAGTCTCCACCACACACAGCTAATGTTGTTATTTTGGAAGCAAGGTTATAACAATCTTGAAGACCTACCTTCAGATGGTATATCTGCTCTTCTGTATCCAAATCTATACATTTTGTTGATTTCTTTACAGACATGACAGAAAGTCCAACATCAATACAGCCATGAAGCTTCCCTCTCTCTATCTGCAAAGAAGTAAAAAGAATACAATCACTCCAGAATAAAGAAAAAGGATAGATATTACCTGCTGAAACCATCATTTCCCCCCCCTCAACCTACTGTTTAGAACTGCTGAAACTCTATTTCCCATTGCCAACAATATGGAATTACTGTTATTTTGGATAAAATAGTGTTGTTACCATACAATGGCCTTAAAGGGTTTCAAGATCACTTACATCAGCTTGGCATTTAGAATACTTCAAAATCCCTCTATCCAAAAAGAAGTATCTCTGTAACCAGAAATGCAGAGAATTAAAAACAAACAAACACAACACCCCCCCAAAAAAACAAACAAAAAACCAACCCAACCCACCCCATATTTCTTTGGAGAACACTTTCTCTGCTCTTAAGTAACCTTTTTGCCACAAAACCACACCAAGCAAGTCCCACTCACATGGCATTACGCTTTCAGATACACATTCCATTCCTACCTTGTGCCAGCCCTTCAAAGGCCATTTCCTCTTTTTCAGCAAGCAGCCCTCCTGCTTCTGTGGCTCCTGGGTAATATTCATTGCTCCTCGGAGTCCTTCTACAATTTCCCAGCTGTCCTGCTTAAACAGAAAATCCAAATGTAGATCTTATTTCTTGCAAAGAACAGAATTGTTAAGAGAGATTCAAGAGGAAGAAGGCTGTAAGTAAAAAAAACCCAAATTATGTTGAAATCTAACCTTAGATCTGTCTTTACACTTTGTTATGTATCTTCCAAGAGACAAGATTCTTTTTTTATTTTGATAGAAAGAATACAAACTAAACACTATTTTTATGACACTGCTTCATTGAACGTTTGTGTTTACCAGAATTTTATATGTATATTTTTCTGTACATACATACACACAGTGTATAGCCACAGCCTAGTCACAATTTAGCATAAAAAATCTTCTGCCATCACAGGCAGAAACAGCCTATGCTAAAAGGATATGTTTTATAGGTTATGAAGCAGAAATAAAAGACACTGAAAACGAAGACCTTTTCTATAAAACTCTTTTGCCCATATTCAGTAACTCAAGGTTTTGTGTTTGGTGTGAATTACAGCCTCCCTAAAGTCAAAATAACAAAATAAAATAAAAACAAATGAAAAAACCAGGGCAGTCACTCAAGTACTATGAGGAACATAACATAAAAGGAGAACACAAGAAAAATAAAAACTACCCTTCATCAGATACACCTCTAATTAAAAGAGGATCTCTCTTTTTTGCCATCAGGAACTCTTAAACGAAAGACCCTGCAGCAACATAACAAAGAAGAGAATAAATCTCACAGTATTTTTACAGTTCTTATTTATGGAACGACTGCTAATGACAATGTAACATGAGTTTCAAGATTTCTGATCAGAGATCTCATGAATTATTTATTGCCAGCTACCATAGGATTTGACAAGATCTAGAATTATGAACAACTGACAGGAAATGGCATGTGCTAGTACCATCCCCATATATTTGAAAAAGACAAAGAATACTTTAACATCTAGAATTTCTTATTTATGGAACGACTGCTAATGACAATGTAACATGAGTTTCAAGATTTCTGATCAGAGATCTCATGAATTATTTATTGCCAGCTACCATAGGATTTGACAAGATCTAGAATTATGAACAACTGACAGGAAATGGCATGTGCTAGTACCATCCCCATATATTTGAAAAAGACAAAGAATACTTTAACATCTAGAATTTAATGACAAAAAAGGATTATTATGAAACACTTTGGGGAAAACAGAACTGTACCAGGTAGGTAAGTACTTGTGATCCTCCCTGTAAGATACACAGGGAAGTATTCCCCAAAAGAACTTGACTGACTCAAAAAAACTTAAAAACAAAAATGAAACAAAAATTAGCAAAAGTGCTAGTTGTGCTCATTTATCCATCTCCAGAATCCTTAAAATTCACCCCTAGAAACCTAGAAAAAAAATTACGTCAGGTAATATGCTCATTACTTGAGTAACAAGGCGTAACGGCAAACCATCTTCTAAAAGACATTCATTAAACACTTCAAGGAATGTAATCTCTTATTCCACCACGTTACTGGTGGCACTCCACTATTTTGTTATTATTTTCCTTGCACTGCACTTTATGGAACAAACTGGAAAGCTGCTCTGCTGCCCTGGCTTGAGTTCACTCTGCCAACACTCACCACAAAACAGGCTGCAGGCAATAGAAATGTGGGGCTGAGCAGCTCCACAGACCACCCAATGATGTTCTACTACTTGAAGGTAAGTCAAAACTGCAGTTGTCCTAACTGAAATTGTTATCACGGCACACATTTTGTGCCCCTACAGGTTTGGGTTTTATCCTTGTCAGTTTTGTAACAAACAGCTTCTTTCTCCCTCCAGGTTGAGAGAGATTTTGACAGCTACTTAGATACCATTATTTCTAACCAAGGATCATGAAATCGTATTTTTTCTATTGAAAACCAGAAGTTACACTCCATATTCTTTATTTTTTATTTTTACTACTTTGGGACTCACTTATAATTCTCAATAATCATGAACCTTTTCCTGCTTTGGGGTAAATTACTATGATACCAGATCAGGGAACAGAGAAGTTATTCATGGATATCATGAGTTAGCGGGCTGAAGGGAGAGCAGAAGGCCTCCTCGGCTGTCTCCAGCACATCAGCCTAACACCAGCCACAGCAGCACGTGCTCTGCTGCTAGGGACCAACAGCACTGGTCTTTCACAGGGTGAAGCTGGCAGAGAATGAAGCAGAGAGCCAGCCTGTGCCTGTGCAAGGACAGTTAGCTAGAGCTTGCTAGCTGCAGTTTGACAGCTATTCAAGTACAAAGGCAGCTCTAAGCCTCCACAATTAAGGACTTTTTTTCCCCTCTTTTTTTTTTTTGACAGAACATTCCAGTCTACAACCTTGAAAGCCAAAAAGAAATTATGTTCCACCACCTCTTTTGCCATAAATGTAAATATTAGGCCACTAAATGCTTTCTGTAGTGGTCTTGGATTACTTTTTCCTGTTAAAGATTATGTATTAAGCCTATAATCACAAGGATTGGGACTGTTATGATGACAGAGAGCAGCCTCTTTAAATATCATCAAATATAGTGTAATGCTACACTTTACATTAACTAAGTAACTGCTGAACTTACTGCTGCTTAAATGTCCACGTGTGGATAAAATCTCATCTCCTCAGAAAATATGATCTACTAAATGAGCCAATATAAAAAATAATCTTGACATTAGCCGATTTCAAATTGGGGAGTTGGATAAAGGTAAACATTTTAAAAAGTGAGAAACCTGATGGAACTAGTGAGAGAGAATTCTAACTAACAGGCACATCTGTGAGATTAAGAAAAATGTTGTGTTTATGCTTTTGCTTCTTTCTTCTTGAAATTAGCCAGAAGAGTTTAAAGGCTGTTTTGCCTGATTACCAAGCAAGCTATTTCCCCTGCCTTTGCCAAAATATATTAAACTGCAGTACCCAAACACATAACTTCTCCACTGAGAATTAATCTGATAGCAGTCAAGACTAGCGAACAGTAGATCCTTTTCAATATTCTAGTGTTATACCTAACAAAACAACTTTCTTGAACTTTGGATCAAGTTCTCACAGACTTTGGTTAAGCTTAAACACAGTATATGGTTGATAGAGTGGTCTGCTTGCAGGAGACAAGCAGAAATTTCAGCACAATCAAGAAAAACATAAGAATCCAGATTCACCTTTCTGTAAGGATAAGCCTTAGAAAGAAAGAGAATCCTGAAGTGAGACAGACCAATGCTACACTGGGCATATGAGATGAAGAGAAAGGAAGCAGCTGAGAAATAGCTCAGCCAATTACACCCACCTGGAATATACATGGTGTCAATAGTTTTGGTCAAACTTTTAAATACAGAGCACATCCTGGCCTGCATTACAACTCCAATTTTGTCTGGGCCTCTCAGGCAGTCCAGACACAAGGTGTCTCCCACGTTCCGGCAGGAGAGCTACATTTCTCCCTGTTCTTCAGGTCAGTGAGGTGGCCAAGAATGTGCCTTCATAATTAAGTAAGTGTGAAAATGGGAAGAAAAGCTGAAGTAGGAGCACTTCTTCCCACCAAGTAGGCCCGATGGCCTGCCAAATCTCAGGCGGTGAAGACAAGTCTCCTACTCTCATTTCTGCCCTGGGAACCTCACCTTCAATTGCAAACTTTACATAAAGGTAGCTTAGTTGGATTAGAAATGGATCCTTTTAAAAGCATGAGACTATTTAATCAACTAAGTTACCCAAGGAAAGGCAAGGAATAGCTCAGAGAATTAACAGTTTGGGGACCTGCTGGATACATGCAAGGTGCAATGCTGCATTAACAGCATCCGGTCCTCTTCCACATGCATCTGTCCAGAAGACTCCAACCTTTCCCACCTGAGCCTCGGAACTCCCACATTTTTTCAAAACAGTGCTGCTGTGACTGGTTTTGCATCTGTTTGCTCTTGACCCAGACCCTACAGGATCTTGATCGGTATTTTGTTTTGCGAGAGATCTGACACCTCATTTAATGAGGAAAAAGCATCAGTTGGCTATTGCTGGGAGCAGCTGCAGAAGTGAAAAAAACCTGCTTACTCTCTAAAATGAAGGCAAATTAATCAGGCTGGTCAGTTATCATCTATTCTCATCTGTCTGAAACAGCAGAGGAGTGAATTGGAGATACAGGATTTCCTGAAAGCTACTGGAAGCATTCAGATTATGCTCCATTTTGCTGATTCTTATCCCACAATAGGGAACTGAAAGAGATACCCCAAACCACAGTGCTAAACTAAAAAAACCCAACCACTACGCACCACTACCCCCCCCCCAAAAAAAAAACCCCAAACCAAAACTCCCAGCTGAATGGCATTAACAATTCTAGCGTAAGGCTGATGTCCAGACTGGTCGTGTCTTAAGGCTATGACACTACAGAAGATTTTGTATCATTATGGGCCAATATCTGCACAAAATTATCAACACTGCATTTGCTGCCCAGGCAGAAGTTTCACCCAAGGCTGAGGGAGGAACATACTCTTTACTTTTCTCAGGTCCAGAGGTGCTTATTTCAGATCAGCACTGGAAAAATCACCCTATAGTTGCTACTTGGCTTATACCTGCTCTGTGGCTGAGGAAAAAAAACATACACTTTTGTCTTCAGAGATAAGTCTGTCATTAGGTAACTGTAGTAATTTTCTTTGTTTAATAAAATAAAAGCCACCTCATTTTCTGCAATATACTGTACCATATATCTCCTCAAGGCAAATTATTGCAGGAGAAATAATGAAGTAATGAGTTTGAACGTCTCTCAGACCGATGCTTGCAGTTGCAGCTCCCTGAACGAAACAGCTGACAGTGCCAGACTTTCTTCCAGTGTAAAATGCAGTCAGTTGTACCGAATATTTTAAAGTGCCAAAAATAGAAACCTGCTTTGTGGAGGATAAGGATTGGCATCAGCTGCAACTAAAGCATTTGTTACAGTTCATAAAATTGGCAGAAATGATTTAATTTTCTTTTTAGAACATGAGTTTTTTTAAGCAGCTCTCCTGACCTAAAGCTTTTCCCTACTGAATCTATTTTAAAAGTTAGTTAACATATTAGACTT